GATCACAGCTAGACAAGGATTGGTGAACATATTGATAGAACAAATAGCAGATATGTGAAAATCTCAGATTGAGTAAGAAAGATACTGGGCTCTCACCATGACCAGCAGGCACTGTAAGGACCCTGAAGGCATCTGTCTCACAGTCAATCTATGGTGACTGAGACAAAGGAATATATGGAGTAATGATGGGACCATGTCACAAAAGTTACACACAGAAAACTGTGGGCTCCTGGAGCTGCTGACTTCCTAATAACAGGCCAGTGAAGTCTTCTGTGTAGAGTCAAAAGCACCTACAAGTTAATCTGAGATGATCAAGAGGAAAGCAGAATTTTCTAGTCAAAGCAGGATAGGTTGACAATTGCATCAAAAAGAGTAAATTACCCAGGAATAAACTTAACCAAGGAGATGAAAGACCTGTACTCTAAAAACTGTAAGATATTGAAGAAAGAAATTCAAGAGGGCACAAGAAAATGGAAGGAAATGCTGTGCTCATGGATTTGAATGATTAATATTGTTGCAATGACCATACTACACAAAGCAATTTACAGATACAAGGAAATTCCTATAGAAATATGAATGTTATTCTTCTCAGACCTAGAACAAATAATCTTAAAATTTACGTGGAACCAAAAAAAAAGACCTCGGAAAAGAAGAACAAAGTTGACAGTATCACACTCCCTGATATCAAACTATACTACAAAGCTATAATAATCAAAACTTCATGGTACTGGCACAAAACAAACACACAGATCAATGAAACAGAATAGAGAGCCCAGAAATAAACCAACACCTACATGGTCAACTAATCTATGACAAAGTAGGTAAAAATATACACTGGATGAAAAATAGACTCTTCCACAAGTAGTGTTGGGGGGAAAAGGACAGATACATGCAAAAAAAAAGGAGAAAGAAAGAAAGAAAGAAAGAAAGAAAGAAAGAAAGAAAGAAAGAAAGAAAGAAAGAAAAAAAGAGAAAGAAAGAAAGAAAGAAAGAAAGAAAGAAAGAAAGAAAGAAAGAAAGAAACTGGCCTAGCCTATTACACTATATACAAAAATGAACTAAAAATGGGTTAAAGACTTAAATGTAAAGCCCAAAATCATAATACTCCTAGAAGAAAACACAGGAAGTAAACATTTGACATCAGTCTGAGTAATATCTTTTTTGGTAAGTTCCCTCAAGTAAGGGAAATGTAAGCAAAAATAAACAAATGGGACTTCATCAAAGTAAGAGGCTTCTGTACTGGGAAAGAAACCTTCAACAAAAGAAAAACAACATACTGAATGGGAGAATATATTCACAAATGATATACCTGATAAGGGGTTGATACTCAAAATATATAAGTAACTAATGCAATTCAATAATAAAAAATGGGCAGAGGACATGGAAAGACTTACCTTCAGAGAAGACATTCAGGTGGTCAACAAACATATAAAAAGACTAGAGGCCCGGTGCACGAAATTTGTGCAGGGGGGGGGGGGCCCTCAGCCCAGCCTGCACCCTCTCACAATCCAGGACCACTGCCTCCTAACTGCTCACCAGCCTGCCTGCCTGATCACCCCTAACTGCTCCCCCTGCTGGCCTGGTCACCCCCAACTGCCCCCCCCTGCCTGGTCACTCCACGCAGCCTGCTGCTCAGTCGTTTGGTCGTCCCTCACTAACCCCCCTGCCGGCCTGGTCGCCCCACGCAGCCTGTTTGGTTGTGATGGTCACTTAGGCTTTTATTATTATAGATGCTCAGCACAACTAATCATCAAGAAAACACAAATCAAACCACAATGAGATACCACCCATACTAGTGAGAATGGCTATTATCAAAAAGCCATCAAATAACATATCTTGGCAACAATATGAAGCAATGGAAACCCTGGTGCACTGTTGGTAGTGTAGCCTCTATGGAAAAAAGTATGGAGATTCCTCAAAAAATCTAAAAATAGATATACCTTACAACCCAGCAATTCCACCTCTTGTTATTTATCCAAAGAAAAGAAAGATGCAGGAGGCAGTGGATTGATGGTTCTCTCTTATCATTGATGTTTATGTCTCTCTCGCCCTCTCCTTCCTCTCTGAAATAAATGAAAATGTACTAAAAAAAAGAAACAGACTTACAGACACAGAGAACAGACTTGATGGTTACCAGAGGGAAGGGGGGTTAGAGAGGTGAGTGAAAAAAGTGATGGGATCAAGAAATACAAATTGGTAGTTACAAAATAGTCATGGGGACGTGAAGTACAACACAGGGAATATAGTTAATAATATTATAATAAGTATGTATGGTGCCAGGTGGGTCCTTGAAATAAATAAGGGGGGGGGGTTACTTTATAAAGGATAAGATTGTCTAACCACTATGCTGTACAACTGAAACTAGTACAAAATAATATTGAATGTCAACTATACTTGAAAATTAAATTTCTAAAAAAGAAAGCTCTCCTGTTACTACAGAAAGAGAAGAAATAAAATTGTAATAATAGATTATGAATGTCTTATGCTATGTACGTGAAACTAATATAATATTGTATATCAACTATAAATTAAATTTATTTATTTTTATTTCAATGACTGAGCCATGCCAGCAAGGGTAAATTAAAGTATTTTAATTGTAAAAAATAAAATAAATAATAATTAAAAATAAATGTTCCTTAAAAACAAGTGCAATAATGATTAATAATAAATAATCAAATAAAAATAACTCATTATTAGTTAATAATGAATCCATGAAATAACAGTTTTTATCTAGGATAAGTACTTTACATTCAAAACCAATAAGTGTAATCCTCAAACCTTACTTCTACTATCTCTCAGAACAATTTTGGAAAGAATTTTGAAGCTTATGAAGAAGCATCTTTGTCCCGTATAATCTTTCAATAAAAGATTTTCTGAATGATAAAAAAGAGAAAAAGACCTAATTCAAAAAGATATATGTAGTTTTATGTTCATTGCAGCATTATTTGCAACAGCCAACTTATGGAAGCAGACTAGGTGTCCATCAACAGATGAATGGATAAAGAAAATGCACGTGCGCCCACACACACACACACACACACACACACACACACAGGACTATTATGCACCAATAAAAAAGAATGAAATCTTGCCATTTGCAACAACACAGACAGACCTGGAGGGCACTATGCTAAGTGAAATAATCCTGGCAGGCAAAGACAAATACCTATGGTTCCACTTACATGTGGAATCTAAAAAACTAAAACAAGCAAAGAAAATAAAACAAAAATAGCCTCATAGGAAAACAGACCAAAAGAATGGTAGCCAGAAACGAGGAGGTATGGGGAAAGGGGGAAAGAGGTAAGGGAATATAGTCTATAATATTTTGATTAGTGTACACAGTGACAGATGATTACTAGAATTAGTGTGGTGATGACATTGTAAGGTATAAATATATTGTACTATATTGTACACCTGAAACTAATAAAACCAATATAAGATTGTATACAGTTATATTTAGAAAAAAATAAAATTAAACAAATTTAGAACAGGATATGTTGAAATAGCAGAGGTACTTTTAGAAAGAGGACCAACTAATCTCCAGGCGATTTAATTTATTCATTGAGACAAAATCAGCATACTATAAATATCACTCTCTAAAATGTAAAATTTTGTGATTTTAGTATATTCATAAAGCTCTGCAACCATGTAACATCACTACCTATTCCAGAAGAAAACAGACACCCATCAGCAATCATCACTATCATCCCCAACGCCACGAGCCCTGGCAACCACAAATCTCAGTTTTGGCTCTATGGGTTTGCTTATTTCGTACATTTCCTACACATGGAGTCCTACGATGTACAGTACTTTGTGACTGGCTTCTTTCACTTAGCACACTGTTTTCATAATACATGTGTTAGAAGGCATCACTACTTCATTCTCTTACGTGGCTAAATACTCCCCCATTGCACAGATATGCCACTTTGTTTATCCAATAATCAATGGATGGACATTTGTGTTGTTTCCTCTGGTGTGTGTGTGTGTGTGTGTGTGTGTGTGTGTGTGTGTGTGTGTGTTAATCCTCGCCATTGGTTTTCTTTTTAGAGAGAGAGTTGGGGGAAGGGGGTGGGGAGAGACAGAAAGAGAGAAACATGGATATGAGAGAGACACATTGATTGGCTGCCTGCCACTGGCAACCAGGAATCCTGCCTGCAGTGGAGGTATGTGCCCTTGACCTGGATCAAACCAAGAACCTTCATTTCTCGGGTTGACGCTCTAACCTCTGAGCCAAACAAACTAGGGCTCTGGTTGGCTCTTATTAATAAAGTTGACATGCATATTTGTGGACGCTTGCTTGCGTGGGCATACTTTGAGCTGTCTTGGATATATATGTACTAGGGAGTGAAATTGCTGATTCACGTGGTCCCTACATTTTTAGAGACATTTAAACATCTAATAATTTAATAATTCTACCTGGTTCATTATTTCTTTCAAGTCTGAGGGCTCTCGTGTTTCATAAACTCCAAAAGGGTCAAAAGGCAAATTTTAGAGCAACAACGGGCGAGTCAAATCGCAGGAACACTTATTAAAATGCTCTTAATGCGAGTGTCAGGAGCTCAGGGTTTGGGGGTGCAGGTGAGAAATCTGAGTTTGTTCGTTTGTTTTTAAATATTTTTATTGATTTCAGAGAGGAAGGGAGAGGGAGAGAGAGACAGAAACATCAGTGATGAGAGAGAACCACTGATTGGCTGCCTCCTGCACGCCCCCTACTGGGTGGGGGTCGAGCCTGCAACTGAGGCCTGTGCCCTTGACCGGAATCGAACCCGGGACCCTTCGGTACTCGGGCCGACACTCTATGGACGGAGCGAAACCGGCCAGGACCGAAGCCTGCGTTCTGAACCAGCTCTCCAGGAGTCTCCTGCCACCGAGGGCACAGCCGGGGCCTCCGGACACCCAAGCGTTCCCACCCCCACCCGCTCCTGTCGCCTCGCACGCAGCCCGCCACTCACAGCTCTAAGACCCTGTTGGCCCCGCCCCCAGAGCCACTCGGAGGAAAACGCCGGTCTGCCCGCGGGTGGCACGCAGTCGGCCTGGCGGAGCCTAGGCTGACGGACGCCTAGGGCCCGGGACCGCAGCACCAGGACCAGCCCGCGAGCCCGCGGTCAGGAAGTGAGTCCCTAGGGACGGCGGTGGGGGGGAGGGGGGCTCCGGTGGGTGCGCGGAGCGGACTCCGGGACGCTCCTTCCGACGGCTCGCCCGCCGGGGCACCGTCCTGGCCCCGGGCCTGGGAGCGGGCGCGGCGCGGGCGGCTGCTCCTCACCGTGCGTGGGAATGTAAGTGGGGGCGCGTCCCGTCCCAACACGGGCGCGGGGATGGAAGGCGCGGAGGCGCCCGGTGCCGGTGCGGTCCCTCCACCGAAGGCCAGGAACGGCGGGGCCGGGCAGCGAGCAAATGGGCTTTGGTCCCTTTCACAGTCGGGGGCGTGTGGCGACAGTGGGGGCCACCCCACCCCCAACCGGGAGCAGGACGTGAAGGACGGTGGCGGCCAGGCTGAATAACCGTCCCTTCGCGGGCGGGGGGTGTGGAAAGAGGCGCGGCACATGTCCCGGACCCCAATCGGGGGCTGGAAATGAAGGGAGGGGTCCGGGGCACGGGGTTCCGGTCCGTTCACGGCGGGGGGAGTAGAAAGAGACGGCGACACGTCCCGGACCCTAAACGGGAGCTGGAAATGAAGGGGTTGGGGTCCGGGGCACGGGGCTCCGGTCTGTTCACGGCGGGGGGCGGGGGAAGAGGGGCGGCACACGACCAGGACTCTTAATGGGAGCTGGAAATGATGGGGGGCGCGTCCGGGGCACTGGGCTCTGGTCCCTTCATGGTCGGGGGTGTGGGTACAGTGGCGGGCCCACGCCCACGCCCACCCCCGACCCCAAACAGAAGAAGGACATGAAGGGGGCGCCATCGCTTCCTAGGCGGGGGATTTGGCCACTGTGGCGGGCAACCCCTCCCCACCCCAACCGGGAGCCAGACGGGAAGGAGGGTGGGCAGCGAGGCCGAGTTACCATCCCTTTGCGGACGGGGGTGGGAGGGGCGGCTGGGGAAGAGACGGGCACACCCCCCAGACCACACCCAGGAGCCTTTCAGGAAGGATGGGCGAGCACCAGACCCCTTGCGGCCCACCAAAGAGAAAATGGCAGGGGGGCAGGCCCAGGCCCCAGACCTAAACTGGAGCGCGACGGGGTCGGAGGCACCGGGCTCAGGTCCCTTCCCGGGCAGGCGCGGGGATGGGGAGACAGTGGCGGACACCCCTCCCCTCCCAGCTTAACCCGGAGCGGGAAGTGGGGCACCAGGCCCCCTTCCTGCCGATCAGAGACAAAATGGAAGAAGCGCGCTTCCTTCGCACCCAGAAGCCCATGTGGTACTAGGGCGGCAAGTCCTGAAACTGCCCCAACCAGCGGGGCTGGGGGCGCCCTCTTGGAAGCGAGGTGTCTTCGCTGCGAGAGCACTGCGTCTGGGCGCTCGCCACAGGCGTCCGACTTTGTTATTTTATTTTAAAAACACCTTTATTAATGTTTAGAGGGAGGAAGGGAGGGGGATAGAGAGAGATCAATGTGAGAGCTCGCCATGGATCCATCGATCAATCGATCGGCTGCCTCCCGCACGCCCCCTACTGGGGAATTGAGCCCGCAAAGGGCCAGAACGAAACCGGCAGCCATTTGGTCAAGGAAGGTCACCCAAGCAACTGAGCTTCACCGCCAGCAGCTGGCCTCGGATTTTAAACCGGCTTTCAGAATGTTTGGGTTTCGTCCCCCTATCCTTTCCCCTCGGGTCCTCTTTTCGCGACTCCCAGTGCCTCTTTCCGCACACGTCCCTAACCACTGAACGGTGAGCAAGAGTTCATTCTAGAGGGTTTGGAGAGAAGGTATCAGGCCTGTAGGGAAGAAGTTTTCATCCAGAAGGGCCAACAGAGGGAAATCCGGAGGGTCAATTCCGTGGGAGAGGTGGGATAAGGTTTGGGTCAGTAAAGAAGAGCTTCCCAGCTGTGAGGCTGGAGTACATGAAATGTGGGTCCCCAGACTGAACAGTTAGGGCTCCTGAATGCCTTCCAGAGACCCTTAGGTGCCTAGACGGGGGTGTAGGATGGGGGGGGGGCGTAATAATACAGAGCTTTTTCTGTGCCAGGCATACTGCTGTTCACTTAACATGCAATTGGATCACCCCCCCCCCCCCAAAGGCCATTATAAAAGCAGATGTTACAGAGAGGCACTGGGTGTCATTTAAGAATCTAGCCCAAGGATGAGTTGAGAACAGGGTAAAGTTTTCCTTTTAAACTTTATTATTGAAAATATTACAAACTAGAGGCCCGGTGCATGAATTTGTGCATGGGTGGGGTCCTTTGACCTGGCCAGCGACCAAGGCCTATTGGGGGACCTGCTGGCCGGTGGGAGGGATCCCGGGAGGTTGGCCAGCCTGTCCCCGATAGGGGCCTATCGGGGGGATGATAAGCAGGGGGTAGGGACTGCGGGAGGTAGGCCTGCTGGGGGGAGAGACCATGGGAGGTTGGCCGGCCAGCCAGGGGGAGGGGCTATGGGAGTTTGGCTGGCCAGCCGCCCCCAATTGGGGCCAATGGGGGGGCGGGCAGGTGGGGAGGGGAGCAGGACCACAGGAAGTTGGCTGTTGGAGCATATTGACCACCAGGGGGCAGCTCCTACATTGAATGTCTGCCCCCTGGTGGTCAGTGCATGTCATAGCGACTGGTCAACCAGTCATTCTGGTCGTTCCAGTCGTTTGGTCATAACGATTGCTTAGGCTTTTATATATAGAAATCCCTCCTTTTTTACCCATTAATTCCTTCTACTCCTCTTCTGCCCCATCCCCAGGCTTCCCTGCAACGTTGATTGTCCATAGGCTATGAATATCCTATCTAATAAAAGAGTAATATGCAAATTAACCATCACTCCAACACAAAGATGGCAGCACCCATAGCCACAAGATGGCAGCACCCAGTCCTCTCAGCCCTGCTGGAGTCCTCCAGTCCTGGGGGGTGACCACTGAGAGCAGGGCCTTCTTGGCTGTCCCGCGGGAGCGGCCAAGCAGGCCCCACAGACAGTAGAGAACCACAGGGAACAGGCCTAAGCCATCAGTAGGACATCCCCTGAGGGCTCCTGGATTGGAGAGGGTGCAGGAAGGGCTGAGGGACCCCCTCCCCTGCCCCCCGTGTATGAATTTCATGCACCAGGCCTCTAGTCTATAATAATAAAAATGTAATATGCTAATTAGGTTAGATGTCCTTCTGGACGTCCTCCCGGGCGACCTTCTGGATGAAGCTAGGGCTGCAAGGGCCCGGGTGCCTGTTGGCGGCTGGAGGGAAGCCCAGGTCCTGGGTGCCAGAGGGAAGCTTGTGCTGGGAGCTGGGGGAAGGAAGGCCTACTCTTGCATGAATTTTGTGCATCAGGCCTCTAGTCTATATAATAAAAGCGTAAGTAACCATTACGGTGGAATGACCAGAACCACCAGTTGCTATGATGTGCACTGAACAGCAGGGGGCAGACGCTCAATGCAGGAGCTGCCCTCTGGTGGTCAGTGTGCTCCCACAGGGGAAGCACGGCTCAGCCAGAAGCCGGGCTCACAGCTGGAGAGCACAGCAGCAGAGGTGGGAGCTTCTCCTGCCTCCCCAGCAGCGCTAAGGAGCAGTGAGCAGGTGGGTGGTAAGGAGTGAGGGGTCCTGGACTGCTAGAGGGTGCAGGCTGGGCTGAGGAACCCCCTGTGCATGAATTTCATGCACTGGGCCTCTAGTATACATATAAATTCTTTGTTTAATCTCTTCCCATCTCCCCTTCTGAAATACGTTAGTCTGTTGCATGTTTCAATGTCTCTGAATCTGTTTTGTTCATCATTTTATTTTCTTCATTAGATTCCACATATAAGTGAAATCATGTGATACTTGTCTTTCTCTAACTTGTCTTTCTCTTTCACTTAGCATAATGCTCTCCAGGTCCCTCCATGCTGTCTCAAAGGGTAAGAGTGAAGTTTTTAGATTATTGGACAGGAAGATAGTCCTGAGTACTTTTTTTCTTGATCCTGAGTTGAGTGGGCAAATGCAGAGAGAGAGGACCCATAGCACATGAGCATTTACATTTTTAACATACCTTAATTTTCCTTTTTACAGTTTACATTCAACATAGTTTTGTATTACTTTCCATTGCAGAGCATAGTAATTAGACAATCATATACTTTAGAAAATGTCCCTCCCCCAAATTTCCAGTACCCACTTAGCACCATACATAATTATTGCAATATTACTGACTATATTTCTTATGCTGTAGTTCACATCTCTGTGATTATTTTGTAACTACCACCTGTACTTCTCAATCCCTTCACATTTTTTACCCAGCCCCACAAACTGCCTCCTGTCTGGAAAACATGAGTTTATTGTCTGTTTCTATGAGTTTGTATTTTGTTTGTTTATACTGTTCTTTTGATGTCACCTTTAAGTGAAATCATATGGAATTTGTCTTTCTCTTACTCACTTATTTCACTTAGCATAAGAGCCTCTAGGTCTTATGGCGAACCTTTTGAGCTCGGCATGTCAGCATTTGAAAAACCCTAACAACTCTGGTGCCGTGTCACATATAGAAATTTTTTGATATTTGCAACCATAGTAAAACAAAGGTTTATATTTTTGATATTTATTTTATATATTTAAATGCCATTTAACAAAGAAAAATCAACCAAAAAAATGAGTTCGCGTGTCACCTCTGACACGCGTGTCATAGGTTTGCCATCACTGCTCTAGGTCCATCCATGTTGTGGAAAATGGTAACATTCCCTTATTTTTTATGGCTGAATAATATTCCATTACATATGTACCAGCACTTTTTAAAAAAGAATAGTTCATTGATTTTTTTAAAAATGAATTTTATTGATTTTTCACAGAGAGGAAGGGAGAGGGATAGAGAGTTAGAAACATCGATGAGAGAGAAACATTGATCAGCCGCCTCCTGCACACTCCCCACTGGGGATGTGCCCGCAACAAGGTACATGCCCTTGACCAGAATCGAACCTGGGACCCTTGAGTCCACAGGCCGATGCTCTATCCACTGAGCCAAACTGGCCAGGGCTTGATTTTTTTTTGAGAGAGAGAGAGAGAAAGAGAGAGAGAGGAAGGGAAAAGATAGGAACATGGATGTGAGCGTCCAACATTGATCAGCTGCCCTCTTCACTCCCACTAACTAGGATCAAGCCCACATCCCTGGCATGTGCCCTCATGTGGAATTGAACAAGCAACCTTTTGGTACACAGAATGACGCCCTACCAACTGAGCAACACCAGCCAGGGTGAACCACCAATTTCGGTATCCATGATGTGCACTTGGGTGCCTTCCATATCTTGACAATTCCAAATAATGCTGCAATGAACATAGGGGTGCATACAGTCTTTCAAATGAGCGTTTTGGATTTCTTCGGATATCTATAATAATAAAAGCATAATATGCTAATTAGACTGGACATCCTTCTGGACAACCTTCCGGATGAAACCAGGGCTCTGAGGGAAGCCCGGGTCCCAGGTACCTGCCAGTGGCCAGAGGGAAGTCTGGGTCCCACTGAGTATGATGTTGGCTGTGGGTTTGTCATATAAGGCTTTTATTATGTTGAGGTATGATCCTTCTATTCCTACCTTGCTGAGAGTTTTTATCAAGAAATGGTGCTGGATTTTGTCAAATGCTTTTTCTGCATCAAGTGCTATGACTATGTAATTTTTATCTCTCAATTTTTTTATGTGACGTATCACATTTATTGATTTGTGGATATTGTACCATCCTAGCATTCCCAGGATAAATCCTACTTGGTCATGGTGTATGATCTTTCTGATATGATGCTGGATCCAATTTGCTAGAATTTTGTTGAGGATTTTGGCATCTATGTTCATGAGGGATATTGCCCTGTAATTCTCTTTCATTGTGTTGTCTTTATCTGGTTTTGGTATTAGGGTGATGCTGGCTTCATAGAATGAGCTTGGAAGTATTCCTTCCTCTTGACTTTTTTGGAATAGTCTGAGGAGGATAGGTTTTAGTTCTTCCTTAAATGTTTGGTAAAACTCCTTTGTGAAGCCCTCTGGACCGGGCTTTTTTTTTTTGCTGGGAGCTTTTTGATGACTGCTTCAATTTTTTCCATAGTTATTGGCCTATTGAGATTTTTGAATCTTCCTGATTGATTTTTGGAAGGTTCTATTTTTCTAGGAATATGTCCATTTCCTCCAGGTTGTCTAGTTTGTTAGAATAGAGTTGTCCATAGTATTTTTTTTTAACAATCCTTTGTATTTCTGTGGGGTCTGTTGTTATTTCACCTCTTTCAGGGGTGTTAGTGAGGGACTACCAAAGAACTGAACAAGTAGGCTGTGTGGGGCAACCAGGCCGGTGGGGGGGCCATGAAGGGCGACCATGTGGGGGGAGCAGTTAGGGGCAACCAGGCCGGCATAGGTGGGCAGTTGGGTGACCAGGTCAGCAAGGGGGGCAGTAAGGGGTGACCAGGTCGGTGGGGGGAGGGCAGTTAGGAGAGACCAGGCCAGCAGGGGGGGGCAGTTTGGGCTGACCTGGATGGCAGCAGGGGGAAGTTAGGGGTGACCAGCAGGGGGGCAGTTAGGGGTGATCAGGCCAGCATGCAGAGGCAGTGAGGGGTGATCAGGCTGGCAGGGTGGGGCAGTTAGGGGCGACCAGGCAGGCAGGCAGGTGAGCGATTAGGAGCCAGTGGTCCAGGATTGTGAGAGGGATGTCCGAGGGGTCCCAGATTGGAGAGGATACAGGCTGGGTTGAGGGGACCCCCCACATGCACGAATTTTGTGCAATGGGCCTCTACTGTGTGTGTGTGTGTGTGTGTGTGTGTGTGTGTGTGTGTGTGTATCCTATGTCTTCTGGTTGGAGCATTGAAGCCATTTACATTTAAAGTGATTATTGACAGGTATGCATTTATTGCTGTTTTAATCTTTATAACTGTTTTACACTTTTTTTCTTCTTCTTCTTAAAGAACACACTTTAACATTTTTATCAGATTATAAAAATTCCCCTAAAGATTATCTGCTACATTAGAACTTTGCTGAAAAGCAAGCAGTTAAGGGACATTAGAATTCCCTCTGGTAACCACTGCTGTTTCTCTCATTTGCCCTTTCCTCAGCAGTAGGTGTCTCCCCCCAGGAAATACACAAAGAAACACATTGGAACCTGAGACTTCAGACACCAGATAAAGTATACACTGCTGGAAGGGATCAATGGCTACCACCCTGGGTTCTGTAACCCAGGCCTCCTTGAATCTGGGCACAGTGTTTCAAGAGTATGATAAAGACACTGAATTCTTCCGTCAGCGCTTCAGGCAGTACCGGTCCAATGAAGCAGCCAGGCCTCGTGATGTTTTCAACAAGCTCCTGGAGCTTTGCTCTGAATGGCTGAAGCCAAAGATGCGTTCTAAGGAACAAATGGTGAAGCTTCTAACTTTGGAACAATACCTAACAATTATGCCCCAGGAGCTAGAGACCTGGGTGACAGAACAATGCCCGGAGAGTAGAGAAAGAATTCTGTCACTCTTAGAAGAAATACAGATGAAACCTGAGACAACAGAGACAAAGGTGAGAAAAGAGTTTGGGATCTGGGGAACTAGACCAAAAGGGTATCAGAGGCAGGTGGGATTGGATCTGACATTTGTCTCTGTGTCATTCTCATTCTTCAGCCCGAAATTTCTGCACAGTCCTTTTCACATTTCTCTTCTACTGGAGAAAACATATGGGTGAGTGGTTTCCAACCTCATCTTAGCCAATTCTCCTCTGTAACAAATATATTCTAATGTCCCAGTAAATATACTTAAATACAATTCATAGATAACATAATCTACCTACAGTCATTCATCAAAAAACACTGGTATTATCTGGCCAGTGTGCTTCAGTGGTTGAGCATTGACCTATGAACCAGGAAGTCAAAGTTTGATTCCAGATGAGGGCACATGCCCTGGTTGCAGGCTTGATCCCTAGTATGGGGCGAACAAGAGGCAGTGGATCAATGATTCTTTTTCATTGTTGATGTTTCTATCTCCCTCTCCCTCTCCTTCACTCTCTGAAATCAATAAAAATAAAAATTTTAAAAAGCACCTGTATTATGCATTAGGGTCTGCAGGCCAGATCCATTGACAGCTGTTTTGTATACCTCTCAGCTAATAATGGATTTGACCTGTTAAAGCATTGTTCAAAAGAAGAGGAAGAAGGAGAATAAATGACAGACAGAATGTGGCACACTGAGCCTAAAATATTTATTATATGACTTTTTGCAAACAAAGCTGGCCAAGTCTGAGTCAAGTGGTTTCCAGAAGAAATATAAAGGAATAAGAAGGTAGTTTATTATGAACTAAAAAACCTTTCAGTGTGCACATGTCTGGGCTTGAGTGCACCAGAAGATATCATGAAGTTGTCGGATGCTTGCCTCTGTGCACAGATTCACTGTGAAAGTGACAGGCAGTAATTCAGAATGATACAGCTCAAACACTATGAACAGCGTTGCTGCTGATCATGTGATTTTCTAAACAGGCAAACAACTCTTGATAAATCTGACTAATTTGTAGTATAGTCTTTCTTTAAAGACATTTTCAATTTTTTCTTTTTTTTAAATAAAATTTATTATGTGAGACTGGTCAACAGGGTCATATAGGTTTCAAGTGTACATTTCTATAATACGTGCATAATCTGTATATTGCATTGTTCAAATCTTACATTCAATATTATCTTGTATTAATTTTAGTATATGTGTACAGCATAGTGGTTAGATAATCATGTACTTTACAAGGTATTCCCCCTGATATTTCCAGTACCTACATAGCACCGTACAGTTATTACAATATTATTGACCACATTTCCTTTGCTGTACTTTACATCACCATGACACTGATTTCCAAAGGAGTGCTTTCCCAGAAAATTCAAGTCATGCTAACATTTGCAAAAATATTTTGTGATTATATGACCAGCAGTGTGAGGTTCTTGACAGATTCTTTTTACCTACATGAATATTTGAAGGTAGGTGGGGCACAGGAGCAATTCTGCACTGTGCATTATCTATACTTGTGTCTCTGCCCACTAATTCTGATAGCCACCACCTGCCATCATTTCCAAAACACGCCCTGGGAACGGTGACCCTGTCCTCTGAACAGAACCACCCAGTAAAACGTTTTTGGGACATATGATAGCTGAGCACAGGGCAGCATTTTGGAGATGGGAGGGAGTACTTCTTGTTGGGCATTAGGGGCAAAGGAGTCTTGGGTATAGATGGGGCTCTGCAGTTAGCCTGTATGAAGGATTCTTCCAAAGTTTCCTGCCTCCAGGCTGGAATGCATTTATGGTTTCCCTTCCTTTCTGTGTCTCCTTGTTTGGCTTTCTACAAGAGACTATTTTCTTCCTGTGGTCTAATCCTGCATTATTAGTATGGTAGGCACCAGCCAAAGATGGGTCTTGAGTACTAGAAGTGTGGCGAGTCCAAATTGGGATATTGTATAAGTATAAAATACACACCCCATTCAGAAGACTTAGGGTGAACAATAAAGTAGGTAAAATACCTCATTAATAATTCTTTATACTGATTACATTATGAAATTATGATATTTTAGATATACTGGTTTAAATAATGCATATTAATAAGATTGACTTTATCTATTTACTTTATTTTTCATATGACCACAGGAAAATTTTTAATGATTTGGGTGGCTTGCATTATATTGCTACTGGGCACTGCTGGTCTAGATAGATTTTAGAGTGATGGGTTCTGGAATTTCCTCCAGATTGATAGCCAGGAAAAGCTCTTGGAAGATCCAGCAGTAGTCGGAATAGCAGACATGATACCAAATATCCACCTGGAGTTACCCCCATTCCAAGCAATGGGAACTGTCCCCAAGGCCCAACCGGAAGATGTGTGGATCCCACAGGAGCCATGCTATGGTGCTGCTTGGGAAGACCTGTCCTTTCTGGAAACTCCTGGTAAGGCAAAGATTTTACTTCTTTTCCTTGATTTCTCTTCTGAGAGTTCAGGAGCTCTCCAGGGGTGGGGTTGGTTAGAAACACTGAATAATGGATGAAAATGGATAGCTTTTATAAATAGGGGGAGGAAACATCCCTTGGGGAATAGCTGCCCACGAAGCCCATTATTAGATCGAACAGGATTCAAAATCTCTTAAGATAATGAGCCTACTCAGCAAGGAGTCTTTGACCAAGAATATTATAAAGGAAAATTGAGGGGAGTATGTGTAATATGAATAAAGATTAGTTTTCCCAGCCAATTTTTATCAGTGGAATCTGTGGTGTTGTGGGTCCCACGGGCCTTGGTTGTTCTTATGGCAGAAGAGTCACGTTCAAACATGACACTTTATTAATATACTCACTTCAGATCCTTTAAGAGTGTTTAATTGCTTGCTGCAGTAAATGAATATGTATCCTATCTAATAATAGACAAACATGGTAATTGACCATATGCCTCCCATAGGCTAATCAGTGTGATATGCAAATTAACCGCCAACAAAGATGTCGGTTAATTTGCATACCTAGGCTCCAATTGGTGGAGCGAGGCCTGACGTTTCTGGGCCAGCAGAGCAGCAAGGCCTCATGGCTCCAGGGCTGGTGGAGCAGCGAAGCCTGACATTTCTGGGGCAGGCTCCAGCCAGAACTCAGCCAGAGCGAAGGCCTGGGCCCCCGGGTGCTGGAGACAAACCGGTGCCAGCAGCCAGGGGAAAGGAAGGCCTATTGCACGAATCTCTTCATGCAACAGGCCTCTAGTCTTACCCATAAAAACCTAGACCAGTGTTTCTCCAGGAAAGGTAAGTGGATTCTCCATATCTGGATCACCTGCGGTGCATTTTTAACAGGATCTCCAGGTGAGTGCTGTACATACTACCTTTTGAGAACCACTGCTCCAGACAATACAGGAGTTAGTTCAGGGTGAGAAAGTCCAGGGGAAGAAAGGCTCATAGAAGTTCATGGATATCTCGAGGGTGGTCGAGAACTTTCCAAGGTTTTACAGAGTGATAAAGCACAAGGTTCTCTGGGCAGACCTTGAGAGATACCATATTAGAAAAGATCGCTATGTATGAATTCGAAAAACTGTTAAATTTTTGGGTATCTTGCCTGGGTTCCTTGCTTTCCCATATCCTAAGTACATGAGAATGGATATCCTTGACACTTGGACCCATTTTCTCTTGAAGGCAATAGAAATTCTAGCTGTGGTGTTTATCAATGGTTTTCTCTCTTGTGATTTCCATTCCAAGTGCCATCTCTCTTCTCTGAGTGTCTGGCAGACAATGGGGAAGGGTACATGTGAGACTCCACCCTGTCCTTGGAAAGGATGGCTTGGTCCATTCCAGGCCTAAGAGTAGAACCATATGTGATGTGTGCATTGCCACCACCAGCATAGAATTCAAGTTATAACATCACAGTGTGGTTGTTTGGTCATGAATTTGTCTCATTTTCTGCACCTATTCAATTTGTCCAGGTTCCAAATTTTGTAGCTTGTTCTAGTAAGTGCTGGTGATGTAGAGACATGGAATCTGTCTTGTTTTCCATAGAGGTGACCAGGAGGAAAAAACCCAAAGGACATATGTATATCCATTAAGGTTAAAGCCAAACTATATAAAGTATTGTCAATTATATTCCAGTCTTAACCTTACCTACATCTCTGATATGTTGACAAGTTTTAAAACATCTGTATTTCTGTGTGTATGCCTGCAAGAAGTGGCAGGGCCTAGCAAGTGGTGTTGAATTATACATCTTTCTGCATATGAGTTACCAGTACATGTGTGAATTCTCTTCTCTTAGCAACAGTGCCAGATACGGAGATCACATATGATACTGAGCAGCACTATTGCTCTTTATTTGAATACTTCAGTCTCTAAAGTACAGGAAATTCCAGTATATCAAACAAGGGAGAGAGAAAATGATATAACAAGTAAAATATAACCATTAGGAAGAAAGGAAAGTACCCTTTCTCATCACTGTTTAAAGTGATAGAATATGCTTTGTCCTATGGACTGGGAGGTCTCCATTTCTACTTCCTGGTCACCAAAGTCTCATCCTCAACCCTTATACAGGGTCCAAGGGATCTGGGAGCTGATTTAGGAAGATGATATGACCAGGAGGTGGCAGTAGCACACACAAGCTTTGTTGGGCAACTCTGTCAAGTGTTCTTGTGATGGAAGTCAGGGGCCAGAGGAGAGGAAAACAAGGTAACTCCCCAGGGAGTAAGGGCTCAGAGGGCTGGCTTACCTGTCTTGGTGAGGTCATAGCCCAGAAGCACCCTGGGAGTTTATAGGTCAGAGAATTCCAAAGGGCAGCAGCAGTTGGGGGTCCCATAACCATAAGGCTCCCATCTTTGCAGTGGCTAGCAATTCTGGGGTGATATTTTCTGAGCTGTGCATAGGAGGCTGGCTCTAAGTGGCTAAAAATCTGTTTATGGGGGCTAATTTTAAAATAATTGAATGTATGAGAATTTTAGTTTGACACCTGCACGCTTTTGAGTACCTAGTCCCAGGTGGGAGTGAAGAAATGAACAACCTAGGGCCCAAAGCATATAGTGCTTGTTCATGCCCTTTGTCTCATTTCCAGCACAACTTCTGGGGTGGTTTCTGTGGCCTTTGAGGGTAGAGAAGAGCCATGCCAGCAGAAGTAGGCATCAAGGCATGACTTCTGACTGATTTTCACTCTTGACCAAAATGCCCTGGGGACAAGCTCTAAAGCACACATCATCTTTCCATGGCCATGTGTCAGCAGAACAAATATCTAGATTACGAATGATTGATTAGGAGGCATATCCATCTAAAACTTTAATAGACATAGTCGAATGTCCTCCAAAGTTATTATACCAATTTACCCTCCGACCACAGCATAGGAATAGTAATGTCTGCTTGCCTTCACTCACAAGCTTGCTTTGTGATGAGCACCGTGGCTGTTTCCTTATGTTGGCATACAGAAGGAGGGCTGATATCCGTGAAAGTCTTTTGAATCAGTGTCTCATTCATTCAGCATTTGTGACAGTATTTTATTGAATGTATGAGTAAAGATGGGAACTGAGGTCGGAAGGGTGTGAGATGTGTGAAAGGGGGATGGTTAGTGCCCTTAGCTGGCATGGGCTGTGAGCATAGGTTGGGGAATGTAAACTAGTGATAGTGTTGGGAGCAGGGCTTTGAGAGTCCAGACAGTGGAGGTTGAGGGCACCTGGTCCTCAAAGATGTGAGTGTTAGAGAGGAGGGATGTGGGTGGGGTGAGGTTGGCAGACAGTGAAAAAGTGCATGAGGTTAACAACTACCAAGGAGCTCAATTTGGGCCAGCCTCTTTGAAAACTGTCTCCTGGGAGTACTATACTGGGGAGAGGAAGTAAGGTAGCAGCTCTCAGTCCTTTTTGGTTGGGTGCTGCACAGAAAGGGGCAGCAGGACTAATGGTAAGTCCATGAGACACAGCTGCCTGGTGATATAATACTCCTGGCCTTGTTCTCATGGGTGCTAGAGTCTGCCTCCAGGGCTGCTTTAGCCCTTGACTAGTCTCGTCTTTGACTGCCTTTCACCTGAGGGACAGGTGTCTGAGTTGGTTTCATGGTCACCTGTGATGAAATCTATAGCCTCAAGAGTATCAACTCTATGCTCTATGTACAGGATGGGAACCACCATGTGAACACATCCTGCCATCCTGAACTGGTTTTCAAGTCTCTCTTACTGGGTATATTCTGGGCCAACAAGTTTCTGGCACCCTAGGCTCTGCTTCTGTCCACCCCCCACTTTTGAGATCCCTCACACTTTCACTTGACAGCAGTTCTCCTCTGATACACGACCTCCAGTTTTATTTGACCTGTGCTCCTACCCCCTCATCCCAACATTATCTTTGAGACACAGCATAAACAAAATAAAGAGTTGTATTTTAAATTATCTTTGTTTGAAATATATGGCCTTTTCATTGTGGAAGTAGAAATAAGGTATTTTAGTCGATGTCCTGAAAGTTAAATTTTCCTTCACATTGACATCAGCCAAACTAACTTGCTCATGTCGTGTTACAAACCCTAATATTGAAATACTAGAGGCCCTGTACATGAAATTTTTGCACTCGGTGGGAGAGGGGTTACTCAGCCCAGCCTGTGCCCACTCACAGTCTGGGAGCCCTCAGGGGATGTCCGATTGTCAGCTTAGGCCCGCTGCCCTATATGCACCCCTATGTTCATTGCAGCATTATTTGTAGTTGTCACTGAGAACAGGCCTAAGGGAGCAGTCACTAAGGAGGCGGGAGAGGCTCCCACCACTGCTGCTGCACTCCCCAGCCTTGAGCCCAGCTCAGGGTTTCTGGCTGAGCGACGCTGCCCCTGTGGGAGCACACTGACCACGAGGGGTCAGACTCTGTGTTGAGCGTCTGCCACCTGGTGGTCAGTGTGCGCCATAGTGACAGGTTGTTCCTCTGTTTGGTCAATTTGTATATTAGCCTTTTGTTATATAGCATTTCCTTGTATTTCAATCTGAAATGAACCATTTCCAACCCACACTTTACTACAGATCAGTAAACTTGAACAGAGCTGAGGAAGGTGTGTGGAAAGAGGCAGGAGCAACAGCGACTCTCACTGAGGGGGCAGTGGTAAGACCTAGGAGGAGAGTGAGTGTAGAAACAACTTCTGGTTGTCCTTAGATTGACAGTGAGAACCACTTTTTCATGATTATTTTTGTTAGTTTCCAGAGAATCAACTTCTAGACTTCTGCTGAAGCAGACATATACAGATTATTATTGCTGTTGCTGACCTACCTCAGTTGCTATCTTAATTTGAATATCTCTTACTAAACTTATTCCAGTAACCATTCCTAACCCCCATACTTTGGCACCTCTCTCTCTCTCTCTCTCTCTCTCTCTCTCTCTCTCTCTCTCACTGCTTGGCAGTCAATGAGACAATGTTTGTCAGTTTTAATAGGGTAACACTTTAGGAAGATTGAATTCATGTTCTGGCCCTCACCTACATAATTCCATTCTCAAAACAGATGTGGAACTCATTCAGTGCATTGACTTCACACCAGAATTGATTCACTTCCCTTCCGTAGACTGGAGGAAAATATCTTTGAACTGAGCAGAGTAGAAGATCTCGCCCCCAACACACCTACCCCCACCCCGCCATTTGGGTCTTGTTCTTATCCTAAAAAACAAACAAGCACAACACAAAGGGCTTGTCAGAGGCTCCTGGTGAAGCAATGCTGAGAAGGTAGTAGGGTGATCTTGAGAGGCCATGTGTCCAAGAAGAGACCTGGACTCTGGAAAAACCTGTGTTGACTCAAACTATCCTTCCTCCCATCTCTCCTATGGCCAGAATACCCATCACCAAAGCTTGCAGCTGAAGAGCCTTGCGGGCAGGAATTACAGAAATGCAAGGAACTAGAAGAACTGGACTTTTTTGACTTCAACCTAGGTAAGTGAGGGTTCATGGAATGCTTGGGAAGATAGGAGAGAAAATTAATCTTTACTCCCAGGGTAACAAGGTTTGGGATGGCACTTGGAAGAAGTTTGTATCTTCCCAGTAGCATTGAGTATAACTCTTCTGTCACTAGCTCTCCATTCCTCTTGGAACATGGTGACATCTGTAATTTCTGTTCCCAGTCTTCATTTTGCTATTGGGAGAGAAAATGTGTCAAAGCAGAAAAAACTGGAGAGTATGTATCTATTTTCTGTTTCTTTAGATGAAAATGTACTTCTTGATACCAATTTTAAAGATGACTTCGAAGAGCTAAGCTACCTATTGGGAAAGTCCGCAGAGCAGCTACTCAGAGACCACACACTGCCACTCTATGATCAGAATCCTTCTTCAGGAGAAAGCGCTGAGAGCTTCAACCAGGAAGAACCTCTCAACCCCATGGGCTATGCACAAAACAGTGCCCCAAAGAAGCTACACCAATGTATTCAGTGTGGGAAAGATTTTCTTTCCATAAAGGTCTTTAAGGGGCACCTGAAAATTCATTCAGGAAAGCTCCCTCATGGGTGCCCTGAGTGTGGGAAAAGATTCCTTCGTAGGTCAAACCTGCAAAGGCATCTTCGAGTTCACACAAGGGAGGCACCCTATAAATGCAGCGTGTGTGAGAAGCGATTCACTCAGTTGTCACACCTCACAGAACACCAGAAAACCTCTTCTAGTCAAGGAGTGTCCACTTGCCCTGAGTGTAAGTCGCGATTTTGTAATAGAAAACAATTTATGCAACACCTAAAAATCCACACAGGTGGAAGACCCCACAAATGCCAGAGTTGTGAAAAAACATTTAGACGCCAAAGAGACCTTAATTTGCACTATGCATCACACACTGCACAGAGACCATTTACATGTGAGTATTGTGGGAAAAGCTATAGGCAGAGATCCAGCCTTGTTTTTCATTCAAGAAACCATTCAGTGGAGAAGCCATAGAACTATATCAACTGTTCTACAAGTGTCCTTAAGAAAGCCCACTTTAATATGCACTTTAGAGAAGAACTCTTTGAAAATTTGTTGAGGGAAAATGTTTCTAAACAAAGTGACAATAAGCTACCAAAGCTTTAACTTGCACTAGGCTGTCTTGGAAAAACAGTTTTGTTTGAGCTTATGCATTAGAACAGCTTTGTATTTTGCTGTGTTTAAAACTTATCTTCCAAGGCACATAAATTCTAGATTATTCACTGATTCTTGCCACTGTTCTAGACATGATTTTTTTCAGTTTACGCAAGTCTTTTTTAATCTTTACGATGAAATGTCTTTGTGCTAAGCCAACCACAATATCGGTATGAGTAGGGAACATGTAAATGCTGGCATTCCTTTTCGATCTAGGGTCAGTATTCCAATAGATGGGTATGTGCCCAATTGACCTGTATCTGTGCAATAGTTTAGTCATGTGGAAATGGCTATGCTGTTTCTTTATGATTGCCACTGACTAGTACTTGGAGCACCATGCGGATGCTTCCCTGACAGTGCCAACAAGCACTTCCCTTGACTCCCACTTACACCACATGTCAGAATCTCCTGTGCACCCACTGCTATGTTTATGCATCATTTGAGCCTTGAACACAGTCCATTTCTGAAATATGGAGCACTTTCAAAGGATAGGGGAAGGAAAGATGTCCAACTCATACAGTACTGGGAAGGGCAGAGAACCGTACCCACCACACAAGTACTAGGAATATTGAGCGGCTTATAGAAGGGTGGAGACCCTACCTGGAACGAACTACCTGTAAATTCTGTGTTTTCTTTCTTTGCTCTTTGGAATGATGAGAGCATTGAATGCTACAAACTTTAAGCCTAGCTAGGATCACATGCCACAAAACTTGTTTAATGTTCTGTTTGTGATTTTACAATTATTTGTTATTACAGTTTTCATTTTATTTCCTTTCTGTCCCAAGAGTTAAACATTGTTAATTTCCTGTGAATTTTTGGTTACAATGCAAGTTATTAATAAACGTGGTTCATTCTACTTCTGTTTTAAAGTTTATTAGGTTTTCTTGAAGATGCGTGTCTTATGACTGCAGAGATTAAGGGCTCCATTTGTAGGGTACTTCCTAGGAGAGGAATGGTTGTGCCATCGGTTTATAGCTATTCACCTTCTCTAAATACTGCCAAAATGTACGACACATATCCCTTCCCACTCCTTGGCTTCTGGTTTCACTCACCTACTGGTGTCCCTTGATGAAGACACTAGCCCAAGTGTTACATAGTTCAACTTAATGTTTTGCCCCTTTATTATTAGTGCTGTTTGAATTCTGGTGAAGAAACCTTTTGTCTACCCCAAGATCAGGAACCTATTTCTACATTTTCATTTTGAAGTTGTATTTGTTTACCTTACACATTGAGATTGCATTTTACCTGGAGTTAGTTTCTTTTACAAATGTTGTGAGGTAAGGTTCAAGATAACTTCAGAATGGAAGGTCCTTACCACTTGAGATTTTGTCCTCGGCCTTTGGGCCTTAGCAAAAATTGAGATGCTAAGAGAATGCTTTTACCAGCCTGTACATGGATTTGAGCAAGTGTGTTATGAACAGCATTCCAGGTGAAGGGATGTCTCATACAAAGACCTGACGAGAAGAGCACAGAGTGGCTGGAGGGAAAGCTAGAGTGTTAGGCAGAGGCCAGGTAATGGAGGGTCTAGTAATCTACCTGATGCATTTGGAACCTCATCAGGCAGTCCAGAAAAAATCATGGACTCCAGTTGAGAAGTACTGGTAACATGCGCATTTTAGAAAGCTCACTCTGGCTCCTGGATGGGGAGTAGGAGAGACAAGATAGGAGACAGAAAGACTAGTGAGGAGGCTACTGCAGATGAGAAAGTGGGCTGAGCTGAGGGCAGTGGTGTGCAGATGAAACAGAAGGTAAGAATTCCGGAGGAATTAAGAGGCTGAATCCACAGTCTCTGATGATTGACGGTATATGGGGTGGGGAGGTGCGTGACAGCCAGCTCTGTGTCCTGAATATCTGGAGTTGGGAGACTGGAGGAACAGCTCAGGAAAAGGGAATGAGGGCCCTCTTAGCCTATAAGCCCAAGGGCACCCATTTAAACTCATAGACGCTTCAATCCTGTCACCCTGTTTGCTCTCTTGGAGACTGTCTCCTGCCCACCGTGTTTCATTCCTTTAACAGTCTTTGGGTGCCCATTATGTTCTAGATAACATCATAGGTACTGAGGATGGCAGGGTATCAGGCTTCAGGAAAGTCACAGGTTAGGAAGACAAGACTAAAAGTTAAGCAGAAAATTCTTCATCAAGGTAGTAAGTCCAGTGATAAACTAATATGTATAAGTTAATATTGGAAGAAGGTACAAATGTCCAGTTGTAAGATAGCTAAGTACTAGGGAGGTAATGTACTACATGATGGCCATAGTTAACACTGTTGTGTGATGTATAGGAAAGTTGTTGAAAGAGTATATCCTCAGAGTTGTCATCGCAACAATAACCTTTTTCTTTTCCTTATCTTCTTTCTTTTTATTGTATCTAATAGTGACCTGGTGCATGAAATTCGTGTACATTAAAAGGGAATTAGTTAGAGGAAATATTTTAAAATTGCTATTTGCCTTTTCTCTATAATAGAAGTGTCAGAGATGAAAGAAAATTAATAACATGTACATGAAAATCTTCCTCCTGTCAGAGTCTGGGGTGCACCCTGGGAACCATAGTCAAGTCCCCGCCACCCACATACACCTCAAAATCGCATGAGACCCAGACCTGGCTGGCCCCACTCCTAATGGGCTAGATCCAGACCCGGCCAGCCCCACCCCCATCAAGCCCACAGGAGCATGGCTTCCAGTTGCCTGGCCCAGCACCAGGGTGGGGGGCACGCCTTGAGGTCCCCTCACCTGGGCTGGGGGCATGGCCTGAGGTTCCCCATCCATCCCCATCAGGAGGGGGCCCAGCATCAGTACCCCGGCCTGGCACTGGGGTTGGGGGCATGGCCTAAAGTCCCCAGCCCAGGCTGGGCGGGGGGCATGCCTTGAGGTCCCCCTTCAAGCCCTGTGGGCAGTGGGCTCAGCCTAAGGTACCCCAGCCTGGCACCGTGGTGGGGGTGCACCCTGAGGTCTCCCATCAAGCCCCGTTGGGTGGAGGGCATGGCCTGAGGTCCCCTGTCAAGCCCCGCTGGACAGGGGGTGGTGTGGCCTCAGGTCCCACGACTCGGTGCCAGGGTGTGTGGCTCGGTATCAGGTCCCCTGGTCCAGTGCCAGGACAGGGGGCATGGCCTGAGGGTCCTTTCCTGGTGCTGGGGCAGGGGTTGTGGCCTGAGGTCCCCCATCCAGCCCTACGTCGCGGGGTGTGCAGCCTGAGGTCCTCCGTCAAGCTCTGTTGGGTGGAGGACACGGCCTGGGCTCCCCCATCAAGTCCTGCTGGGCTGGGGGGCATGGCCTGAGGTCTCCTGTCAAGCTCTGCTGGGCAGGGGATGTGGCCTGAGGTCCTCCGTCAAGTCCTGCTGGGCTGGGGGGCATAGACTGAGGTCCCCCTGCCTGGCGCCAGGGAGGGGGATGTGGCCTGAGGTCCCCTGTCAAGGCTCACCGGGCGGGAGGCACAGCCTCAGGGCCCCTGCCCTGGCCCAGCGCCACACAGCCTCAGGTCTCTGTTGATTGCTCCTTAGGCTTGTTATGGGAACTTGGCCTCCACTGTGGGCGCAACTACCTTGTGTAATGGAATCCCTGCCTTTGCTGTGGGTGCAGCCATCTTGTTATGGTGTGATGGTCAATTTGCATATTCCATCTTTATTAGCTAGGATATGAGAGAATGGATGTTAGCTGAACCTATTTTGATAATCATTTCACAAAATATGTAAATTATCATGCTGTACACCTTAAACTTAGTGACGTATGTCAATTATTTCTCAATAAAACTGGAAAATAGAAAGCAAGAGAAACTTTAAATGTTTTAAATTACTCATTGCCCTGTGATACAGGAATCCCCCCTCTAACTAGTTATCCAGAAGAATTGAAATCAGCATCTCCTCCAGATATTAGCACCACAATGTTCATAGCAGCATGATTCGCAAGAAGCGAGATGTGGAAACCACCAGTTGAGAAGTACTGGTGAGATGTGCATTTTAGAAAGCTCAACGATGAATGAATAAAGAAAACGCAGGGTGTTCTTTCAATGGGATAGTATTCAGCCTTAAAAGACAAGGAAATTCAGCAAATGCAGCAGCATAAATGAACCTTGAAGGCATAATACTAAGTGAAATATGTCAGTCACAGAAGGACAAATACTGCATCTTTCCACTTATATGAGGAATCAAAAATAGTCACACTGTTTAGAATCAGGGTAGAATGGTGGTTACTAAGGGAAGGGGAAATGGGAACTTGCTACTCTGTGGGATTAAAGTTTCAATTATACAAGTACAATAAGTTCTGGAGATCTGCTCTACACACTGGGCCCTATCTGAACAATACTGCATGCTGCACTTAAAATTTTTAGGAGGGTAGCCCTAGCCAGTTTGGCTCAGTGGATAGAGTGTTGGCCTACGAATTGAAGGGTCCCAGGATCGATTCTGGTCAAGGGCACATGCCTGGGTGGTGGGCATGACCCCAAGTAGGGGGCATGCAAGAGGTAGCCAATCAATGATTCTCTCTCACCATTGATATTTCTATCAGTCTCTCCCTCTCCCTTCCTCTCTGAAATCAATAGAAATATATTTATAAAATTTTTAGGAGGGTAGATCATGTTCAGTGTTCCAACCATAATATCATAACTTTTTGTTAATCTTCACCTGAGATTATTATTTCCATTGATTTTAGGGAGAGTGAAATGGAGAGAGAGGGACATTTGTATGAGAGAGAAACATTGATTGGTTGCCTCTGCACGTGTCCATACTGGTGTGGGGGATCAAACCTGCAACACAGGCCTATCCCCTTGACCTGGAATCGAACCTTCTGTGAGCAACAGCAGCCAGGGCAATCATACTTTTTAAAAAATAGAAAAGATAAACTCCCTTTGCCTTTTTTTTTTTTTTTTTTTTGTCTGCAAAGCTCCTGATTTCCCCTTCAATTTTGACTGATAGTTTTACTGGACAGAGTATTCTTGGATTCAGTCCTTTGCTTTGCATCACTTTGTATACCTCCAGCACAACCAACAGACACAAGAGACTGGGGGCGGGGGGACGAGAGCAAGTGCTTGGGCGTAGGGGAGGCCGGGGGGAGGTCAGTGGGAAAAAACAAAAGAGATATATGTACTACTATTTGTAATACCGTAAACAATAAATTTTTTTAAAAAAATAAATAAATAGAAAAGAAAATTACCAAGACTCACATTTACTGAAATAAAATGACATCAAACACACAATCATACTATAAAATAACATGTCAAACTGTGTTTAAGGAGGGTGGTCGATTGGTTTTTTAAATTTTTTCATTCTTAATGTGTAATTTTTAAGAATGTCATTCTTCATGGGTAATCAGAACTTCAATTAACCTTAAGGCACCCAAGAAAGGTTGCTGTTATTCTGAACACAAGCTACAGTAAAAAGTGTCTTGTCAGATCACTGAGGAGAAAGCAGTCTGCTATATGCCAGACGCTATGTCAGGTGGGTGAAAGAGATGTTACATAGATGCGTGAGAGGTATTCCCTTCCCTCTGGCTGGCTGCAGGGGACATGAAGGGCTGTGGCAAGACTTGATGGGTGGGAACAGGTTTTATCCTTCTGGAGCCTCGAGACATGGAGTCTAAGGCCCATCCTGACATCAAGATCGCCACACTGCTATAACAACTGGCACGGAAGTCTGTCTTGCTCTCTACACTTGAAGATCAAACCCTGGCGCAGGGCCTGACATATATGGACATATGTTAAATTGTGTGGCCAATGAAAATACATTGAATAATCACACTCAATAATCACACTCTGTTTCTGTAACACACAAACTTTCCCACAATTTGAGACTATCTCTCAAAATTATGACTATAACAGTTAATGTTTTAATTACACAGATTTGTGTATCCA